ACCACAAATGTACATAAACTTATTTTTAAATGAGTTTATTGTTTTCATTGTGAAATCAGCATAAAAAGGTACTGTTCTTAAGTGATTGACCATATATATCAGAAGACGAACAATAATGTTCACAAACTACATGTCTATGAAAAGTTAAAAATTACAACCAATAAATTCATACCATTTTGAATAGATTTAAATTCCATTCAGGAACTAGTAATAGCATGACTTGACCGTGGTTCGCTATATGATGCAGTATTGGATAGTCTTAAATTAAGCAACTGTTTCTTATGGTATGCACTGTTCTCCTGGTTGGCTTGTTCATCCAGTGACTTTCTTATACAGTTTTTTAAATCTTCAATTCCTTCTCCAGTAATTGCAGAGATTGGAATGACATGTTGGAACTCCATAGTTGTCTGTGGAATCATGCTTTTTTCAAGCAAGTGCAGAAAATCTGAAACAAAGAACAAAAAGCTAATTTTCATTGCCTTTCAAAGCAAGATTTCAAAGTGAAGCATGCAAACTAAAACAGCATTTTTAATTCCTTTTTTCCTTCTCTTTTAATAAATTCTCATAGATTCTCAGAACCTCTGGTTTTCACTCATCAGTGACAATGGAACGCAGTGGCTCCATACACTAAGTAAGCACTGGACTGTGAATGACATGGTCCAAGGGACAAGCCTGTCAGCTGCTCTGCAGGTCAAAGATGAGGCTTTCCGCTCCAGTAAAGGTTTAAAGCCTTGGAAACCCTATACAGGGTCGCTATGAGTTGTAACCAACTCAACGGCACTTAACAATGACAGTGACAATGACAAGGTTCTTGGCAGATGATCCACTACACCACCACCAGTTGTTGATTATGCCCCATGGTGACCGTGACCCCATCTGTGTCAGATGGTGCTCCACAGGTTTTCAATGGCTGATTTTGGAAGTAGATCGTCAGTCTTTGTATTCTGAGGTGGCTCTGGGTAAACTTGGAAGTTTCAACCTTTCAGTCAGTGGTTTACTGTATTAGTTGTTTGTATCACCCAAGGATACATGGTAGGTGCTGAGCAAACCATTGTTGATATTCCAAACAAAAGTAAGAGTAAAAAGATAAATCAGAAGATGATTTACTTATAAAAGCAATAAATTTTGCTTTCTTTTTGGTCCATGTAGTAAACCAACATAGAATCTTTAAAAGAATATTTCTATGAGAAAATAAAAGAAACTACTTATAATTTGGGAAACTCTACCTTGCCTTGGAGTGCGGTGGCACCATAGACTAAGCACTAAACTGAAAACCACAAGGTTGGAGGTTCGATATTACCAGAAGCTCCATGAGGAAAAGATGAGGGTTTCTGCTTCCCAAAACATTTTCACCCTCAGAAACCCTATCTGGGTTGCTACGAATCAGAACCACTTTTGTCAGTTTGTTGTACTCAGGTGGTGTGTATATTGCTATAATGCTGGAAGCTATGCGCCACTGTTATTTAAAATACCATAGTCACCCATGGTGGAAGGTTCTAGTATACCTTCTAAAATAAGACAGACTAGGACAAAGGAGAGGTAGACAACTTCTGAATGTTTACTCACTGAAAACCTTATGAATAGCAGTGAAACATGGTCAGATCATAGTGCCAGAAAATGAAAACAATAGGACTAGCAGAAGAATATGTCCAATAAAGTTCAGAAAGCCTAATTAGGAACCATCAAGGGAGGCTCTCAGGTTGGAAAGCACTCAAATACGACAGGGGAAGAGTTACTTCCTCAAAGTAGAGTTGACCATAATGATGCGAATAGAATAAAGTTTTCTGGACCTTCGTTTGCTAATGGAGCACAACTCGAGGAAAAACAGCTGTAAACATCCATTAATAATTGGAATATGGAATGTAATGTACAAAGTATGAATCTAGAAAATCGGAAGATGTCAAAAGTGAAATGGAATGTATAAAGATCGATATCCTAGACATTAGTGAACTCAAACGGACTGGTACTGGCCATTTTGAGTCTAACAATCATATGGTTTACTAGGCTGGGAACAACAAATTCAAGGAGAATGGGATTACATCCATCATCAAAAAGAACATTTAACGATCTATCTTCAAGTATACACTGTCTGGGATAAGATGATTTCCATATACTTACAAGGAAGACCATTTAAAATCACTATTATTCAGATTTATGCATCAAGCACTAAGGCCAATGATGATGAAATTGGAGATTTCTACC